CATAAACACACAAAATCTTTAGTAAAGCAACAAGGCTATTAAAGAGAACTGAAACATGCCATAAATATACTATCTCTGGTTTAAATAAATGCTTAGTGTACAATAAATACAGGATACAAAAACTACAAACATCAAGAAATACTTTCACATTTCATTTAAAACCTCATTTGTAACAGTTTTCTTAAAATGATTTTTTTTATTGCTTTCGTAAGATGTTGTCTGTGTGCTGAACAATTCATAATTAAGTTTTCTGAACTGAGCAGAGCTCCTTCAAGCAGTGTAAAGATTTAGAGAGCAGAACATTTCTGGATAGCTGGAAGGCCTTTTTTGCTTCAGAATTTTCTACAAATCCAACATCTTCAATTTCATTTAGGCAGTAAAATGGAGAGAAAAAGAGAAGGAAAATTACTTCAAAATGTTACAAATTTAGAGCTGAATTTGAATTTGCAATTGTCTAATCTGTCAAAATGTCTGATCTCCACTATCTGCATCCAATTTCTCCTGTATCTATATATTTTGTTGTGTGTATTTTTAACTTTTGCAATCTTCCCTTTGCAAATTATTCTTGTCACACAATGAAAAAAATACATGATTTCACAGTGGGAAAAAGCTTATGAGACACTGCTGGAAAATATTAGTAATTGCTTACTAAGAATTCTTTGTAGTCTAATCCTAGGTGTGAGCAGAAGCAGTACTGAAGTACATTTCTTCTCAGTGTCAATAGTGAGAAATAGTAGTACTATGAAAATACAGGCAGAACTTCCCTTCTCTGTAAAAATTAAGCCATGATCAAATTGATTTTATGCAACCTTGAAAGGGTTATATTATGATTCAGTGCTTTAGGTTTTTTACTGTTGCCAACTCAGATAATCTATCAAGACTCTTAAGAGTTTGCTTTAATCTCAAAACCCCATGGTTTGGGAGCAAATTATTGCATAATCAATATGTTTCATTTTAAAGCCCTTCTCTCTATCCTGCCCATCATACACATCTCTAGGTCTTATTCTTGCAGAAAAAGAGATTGAATGTGACCTGACAGGACCCCGGAGAGGTCTACAAATCAAAAGCAAATCAAAAATAGAAGTCACATTGCAGGGCAGATGGGTTTTTTGGTGGGTTTTTTTTTGTTGTTGTTTTTAAAAGYTGTTACAACTTCCCTACTTGTTGCCTAAGCACTGCTTTTCCCCAAAAAGACCAAGAAATTCCTGCTACTCAGAATGGCTGCTTTTCTCTCTGGTGAACCAAAACTGGGAGGATGAATTACATTTAAACTTATACTAGTAAATTCATGAGTATGTTATGTATAGTCCACTWCTAATAGAAGCTTGCATTTTTCCTCTGAAGTTAAAATATGTTACTACACAACAAGACTTGGAAGCSAACATTACTATGTCATCGAGCCCAACAGGAACATTAGCAATAGAAAGGCTGCTCCCCTTCATCACCCTCCACAAACCTGAAAACTGAGAACTTCACCTCAAGACCACAGTCTGTCCTACCCGCTCACCCACGACCACAGTTCCACAGCTGCACATCAAATATCACTTAGCTACTGCAGCTCAGGAATTATAAGTCAGTATTAGGAAGAAATGTTCTTCCTAGACTTTGAGGTTTAGTTTATTTTAAAAAGTAAATACTGTTATAGCTTCACTAGTCCTAGAATTAGAAAAGACCTTTTTATGCTGCTACTAAATATTTTATGTTTAAATAAGAGTAACACGTCTACTGTTGCTGTCTAGTAAGATAACACCCTTAACTAGGGTGATCACTAAGCTGAAATAGAGACTGAAGTTATCCTTCTCACTCACTTATTTTGGCATTAATTGTAAAAAACAATCTAGCTCCTCTGATGTCATTTGTTCCCAACTGCAAATACATACTTGGTATTTCTCACATAACAAACCATACTGACCTGGGTTATATACAATGTCTGCTAGTTTTTCTACAGGAAAACAACAAAATAAAGCATTTTTAGGCCTTTCCTTATTTATTGGTTTTGATTAACACCCTGTCCTTCTATTCTGTCAAGAGGAAATACCATTTTTCCAACAATTCCATCCRTCATTCTCTTCTTTAAATCCTTTCATTAGATTTCACTTCTCTGCCACATGTGGTTGAACTTTCTTGTTCTTGCCTTTGAGATAAGGCAAGTTCCCTAGCTATGTTCTTTTGATAACCTGTCCCACTTATCAATGAGGTCTACATCAGCTTTAGTTTCTTTTCCCAGGAGCTTCTGCTTTTCCTGCTTATAGACTGATTGGTTTTGAGACAAATTAAACTGAGATCCTGCTGCATGAGATCCCTTCATATCCATACCTGTCCAAGGGTATTCAACCAGCTGACCAAAGTAATCATGTTCTCATTAAGAACAAGGCAGTTCTGAAGCTTATACACATTCTGAAGTTTATATACAAACTTTCTCAAGTTTATACACATTTGAACAACTTATTTCAGCTTATTTTGAACTAGAACCTTTTGTCTTTTGTGACAGATTCTATACAGCCTCTTAAATATTCCTCTTAAATATACACTCTGCATTTGAGGAAGACAAGAACTCACAGTTACTCCTAGATCAGCATCTCAGAAGCATGGCACAAACAAGCTTAAGTATTACTTAAGCATTATTTACTTTACTAACCCACTTCATGATTTTTCCTCTCCTTCAGTCTACAAGAAGGAAGAGGCTGTATCTTTCTATCCAATAACTTTCACATGACAAGGCTTTTCAAAGTACTTTTAAAAGTACTCAAAATGCATACAGTGTGTTCAAATACATACTGGGAAACCCAAAGAAAATACACAGCCATCCTATTTGTTACACTCACCCACCTTCTTCCATCTTTCTTATCTTTTGAGGGTCAGTCTAAAATTGGGATAAATCACTGACAACCACTGTACCTTTTTATTCTAGACACTCCTTTCATGTTTTCAGAGCTGCAAAAACACGACCAATTCTGGCAACACCAAGTCTGCAAACTGCTGTTCAGTGAAACATATTAATGGATTCCAGTCCTATTTTTGTAGGACAGGCATCCTAAGCAGGMCAGGCATTACGGACATTTTCAAAGATAGATAACTTCCAAATTCTCTGGTTAGTGGAAATGATTGCTAGGAAACATTAATCCTTACTGCTTTTTCCTATATGAAAACCTCTGAGAAACACTATCCTGTGCCTACAAACCCTGTATTCTTCCCCTCCTCAAAAATGACAGGTACTTTTAGTTCTCGTAAATCTAGGTTTCATGCATTTAGGCAAGTATTTGTTTTCCTGTCGGGTTGACTGTTTCTACCTGATTTTTCAGTGACATACTATGTATCAATCCTTCCTGCTGCAAGATGCTAATGTCATATTTAAGCATGTTAAGAGAMATAATACTTTCTCCTGACCAATTCTTCTTTCAGAAAAAAATTCAGATGCCCAACAATTCAAGGTTTGATATAGCAGAAAGTATGTTTTCTTAATAAAAGGCTTTAGAAATACRTATTTTCCAGTAATACATAAGATGAAAAGGTTCTATTCTCACCTTGTTTAGGAGACATTGTATACATATAGCCTGATGACTGCATCTCCAAGGAAGACCTAGAACACTCTACAGGCAGATGACTTTTTTCAAGTAAATTAGTAAATGGGCCTGGAATACTCTCAATCACTTAAGCTATAGTAATTAATATTCTTAATGAGGATCATACATTAAATTTTCCTAGTTTCAGTACTATGAAAAAAAGCACATCCAATACCTTACTGAGTTCATTTATCACACTATCTTGTRATGTTTTTTTTAAAGAGACTTTACATAGATAATCTGTTAATGCATAAAACTGAGATCAATACTTGCAAATCTTGCACAAATGCCTAAGACAAAATTTGGAAATTTTGATAGATAACAAATCTCAGGTTAGAAAATACACTCTTAAAAAATGCAAAGAATGTGCTCCCCCAACATTTTGTGATAGGTACTTTTCTCTTATCCAGAGAGAATGTTTGGAAGGTAGGTCTGTTTTCTTCACATTCCAAACCAAGATAGTCACACATGAAATTGTTACCTGCTTTTACTAATTCTTCTGATATCATGTAACCAAGCACCTACAGGTACTCTTTGAATCACCTGCCTACATTTTATAAAGACTACTAAAGAAAAATATAAATTGCAACTAATTAGATCRATTTTTTTAATCTAAATACAGACCTTCTCCTGAACTTGAGCCAGAGGCTTGAGCTTTTAAACTAACCTGAAAAAACAGAAAAGAAAGCATATAATGGAAAAAGAATGCTGCTTCTGTCTCTCATACTTGATTATAGAATGTAAGGTCATGTTTGGAAACATACTTCTTGTCAAGGGTGCTCATATTATGATTTTACTGCCTTTATATTATAAAATCAGCTCACATTGAGACCAAGATGAAATTTTAGTGGTTTTAAACATKTTCTCCTCCCTCCTTACACAAGGAAGGCATTATAGGTTCAATAAAGCTCACAACTACTAGAAAGTCAACTGAGCTATGAACGGTGTGTACATTAAAAAATAATGTTTAGGTGCCTCACTTCAGTCATCAGGTCATGATGCATACTTAGCATCACTTGGTCATGAAGCATACTTAGCGTTAAAAATTTATAAGGTTAAAAAGTATAGCTCTGCAGTGATCCAGCAACAAGTATTGTTATGTGATCTAAAAACAAAATGAGATTTTAAACCAAGATGGAAAAAAATCTTTCGATAATAGCATGTTTGCCCTATTGATAAGCTATTTGTTATTTCAGCTTTACTGAAGCAATCATATACATATATATGTATACAACTGTTCATGAGCCACCACTTTTTTTTTCTCCAATTTCCATCTAGCAACTGAGGCATAGATGCACAGAGCAGATTACAAGTTTTCTGAAATTCTAGGAATCACAAAGCAAATATTGCTGCTACATATCTTTATTTTCTTTTAACAAAATACACAAAGGCACAAAATTCACTTATCTTGTCATTATTGTACAGGTATAAATAGTGCTTTGTATTCAAGTACAATCAAGTGCAGAAACTTCCTATTTTAATGTAAACACAAAACCAGTTTTGTAYGTATGTGCCTCTGGTTCATCTGCAATGCAAATACCACCAAAGGTAATACCATTTATCCGAGTGCCATTTAACTGAATTCTGCCAAGAAATTAGACAATGAATATTGACATCACTGTAATGACACTTTCCATATGCTTAAGTCAAATGTTAGATGACACTTCTGCTTGTAAACATCTGTCTATTTAAAGTGTAGACAATCCATTTCAGCAGGAAAGCATTAATAAAGTATCTTAAGTTCACTAGACCAAACTTCACTAGGCCAAGTGCTGCCAATAATTGCTCTTTTTGTGACAGTTCAAGGGAAATCAAATTATAGGTCACTCCCAATTCAACTTGGACTAAAGTTGGAATTTAAGGAAGCAAAACTAAACAATGGCTACAACTGTTAGACTTCAAATGACTATACATTCTGCTGAGTGTTAACTCATTTAAAGACACATGCTTAATTTACAATACCCATTTTTACATGTAGCTTTGACATACTGTGGCAGTGAGGCAGTTCGAGCTCAAGCAATATCTTAAGTTGTACCATTAAAAAAAAGCTCACCTGAATAGTAACAGGCATGAACAAAGCTAAAATCTAGGTACAGAAGGCACTTGAATGACTTTATTCTGCTTTCGCTAAAGATTCTTCACTCTGTTCAGCAGAAACAGCAGAATCTGTTTCACCAGCCRAAAACTCCTTTTCACTTCCTGCTTCCTCTTTTTCAGCTTCTTCAGCCAACTTATCATTTAGCTGCTCAGGACTTGGGGCTTCGCTATCTATCTGCTTTGTCTCAATCGTTTGAGCAGTTTCTTCTTCACATTCTGTGAAAAKAAAACACATCATGTTGTCACTTTCAGAAGTGAACTAATATTCAGAAAAACAAGCCAGTGAAGCAATATCTTCCAACCACGCACAGACTTCAAGTAGTTGCTAYATGAAATTCTCAAATGCCAAAATCTATTTAATCTTTCTCGCAAATCATAAGTTTAAAAAAAATCTAGTGTAGGGTTTAAGAGGAGAAAAATAAAGTATTATGGAAAAGACTTCAGATCATATAGTGCATAGATGATTACCTTCACTTACCTTCAGCCTCAACAGAATCGTAAGCTTATTCTGTTTCATGTGAGACAGTATCAACATTTAACTAAAGCTTTGTACAATTTAGCTCAGCACATTTCAAAACAAGTGACCAAAAGCATCTTTTGCCTGTAGAACCACACATTCACCACAAAATATTCAAGTGATTTACCAATATTTTTGTTTCAACTTTCAAGCCATTGCTAAATGTAACCTAGTCCAGATTTGTAGTACCAAATACAGRCAATGCAGAATTAATTTAAAAGATAAGTGTTTTTGGCTCTCTCTAGCAGGACCCAAACATTACTACTTGTAAATTCTCACTCTCATAGCTTTCCATATTTCCAAAGGATTTAGAGATCTAAGTTTCAATACCAACAGCACTTCCCATAAGCAGTCTTAAAATCTCTTATCCAGAGGAGTAGCATGTAAGATGCTTGTCACAGCATAAGCATGTAACTGGAAAGAGATTTAGTTACACACTATACTCCTTAGCAAGTGTAGCTGACTGGAAAAGATGTATTTATAGCACTTCTGTATCACATTAGCTTGCACAGTTTCCTTTGCACTATGGTTTAAAGGAGTTACAAATAATCTTCCTGTGTTATCAACATTTCTGAAGTTTGTTTCTTGGTGTTAACATTTGTTTASGTCTTTAAGTGAAGATATTCCATTTTTGCTGTGATGGCAGTTATATTAACTAGAGCAAACAAAAACCTTCCACAAAGTTCTCTCTGTTAAATGATAGCCCCATATCTTTAACAAATGATCATAATGTAAGTTTATGAAGTCCAACTGCCTTTATGCAAAATTATGTTTCAAATTAGTGCTCCGACGTAAACAGTAATTTACTGAAAACTATGTTTTCTCATTCTTAAGGTAACTCTATGGCAAGACACAGGCAGCTGAGACACGGACAAGCTGATAGGATCGCACAGGCCGATATTTATCGACAAAACATTTGTCTGAGATATCAGTTACATAAAATATTAATACATTACGCCATTCCTAGTTATTCACTAATTATGAAAACAGATTCATTCATTCATCTTGGTGATGACAGAAAAGAGCAGATATTTAAGCTAGTTAGATACCAAAGAGAGCATACCAGTTATCTCTGCCTCTCCTCAAAAATCAACTACCTTCCTTGGTAGGGAGGGAGCAGAACAGGAATAGAGATTCGACCCTCTTTTTTTTTTTTGAGATCACATTAATATAACACCATATTGAGAGAAGTTCTGTGTTAAAGATAAACTGGAATACTTCACATTTACAGCATCTCACATGACTAATGAAAATCACACAGTAGTTCTTAAGGCTTTCAGCTCTTTACAACATCTATAAACTGACTCAGCAGCTCAGACTCATTAAAGGCACAGTTTGATAAGCATTTCTTTAAAGATAATACCATCCTAATTAGCACTCACTCTCCCTAGACCTAAGACCCTGCAGCTGAGTAATACTCAGAAGCCTCAAATGCATACATCTGCATGGACTGAACACCTAGTCTTATATGGCTTCACCATTCGACTCAGAGGTAAATAAGCAGAGTTTTGAAGACCCTAGTAATAAATGGTGGCTTGCCTGTATCAAAATTCTGCATCACTGAAGTGATGATCATTTGAGAACAAAGACAAAATCTGCGTAGCCTTAAATCTGGGCATTTCATTTAGCTCTTACTTTCACAATAGCAACAGTAGTGAAGCAAGTTTTAGAAGTCATTTCCACTGTTATCTCTGCTGCCCTTCTACCATAACTGGTTAGGAATAGCCATAGTGGTGTCTTTCAGAAGGTATTCATAGCAGCAGAAGCAAGGAACATAAGGAATATACTGCCTTAAGCTGAAATACCTCAGTCTGGTGCTTTTCCACTACACTGGGYGATTTGTCAAAAGGAGCTTCTGCACACCCTTCCCTTCTCCCCTCCCCTGCCTTCTTCCACCCTACAGACAGACAGACCCTCTCTCCAGCTGTGCCAGGTGCCGGCTCTACAGCTGCCTGGCAGCTGGGCAAGGCAAACAAGCACCACTTGTAATGAAGCCAGAGCACAAAGTGGAACTGGGAAAGAAACTGAACCAGTTTTGCCAACAAAACATCCACCCAGAAGTGGCTAGAATTAGATGAGGGCTCCCTCTTCTCATTCAGTTCTCATGCCTGAAAAGTAAATGCTGATGGCAGTTGTACTCGGTGAAGACAATCAGATAAAAACATTATTGCTATTATACTCAGGACTTTTTTTTTTTTTTTTTTAACAGCTGGTGAAGTTTTGGTCTGAATCTGGAGATTTACACAATTTGATAACTGCACCACATACCTCCTGGTATAAACTAGCACAAAGAGTACTACATACATGCAATATCACATCTAACTGGAGACTCTAATTTGAAATTTTAATTTCTGAGGTCTTCTAAACACTGAATCTTCCTGTTGGCTGTGCACCAGATGCCTACTTTATCTGCAGACCATAAAATGTCTCAAAAGGAACTACGTTAAATTAAAATTGACAATTTGTCTTTGAACTCCCCGATTTTAAACAAGGTAGTTTTACTAGATTTTCCTGCCCTGAGGAAAACAACAAAAGGAACAAAGGCAGAAATTCCACCACACCTCAATCAAATGACCTGCTGAACTAGTGAAAGTTAACCACTTCAGGACCTACAGCCTTCTTAACTACGTGTATAACTGACAACGCTATTTTCCACTCATTTATCAGTAATATTGGAGTTAAGAATCTTGTTTAGCCATCATTCCCAAGACATATATGAAAAAGCTGAGTGTACTGGACAGCAAACCACACTACCAAAAAGCTACAGTAATGTTTTTTCACAAGATGAGCTCATACCTTCTGTCTGTTCACGCTCCTGCAGCTTTCTCTCTCCGATATTCAGAGACTCAGTTTTGGACTGCAGTTCCGTGGGTGACTTTTTTTCAAAACTGAAGTCTGGAAGTCGTGGAGCTTGGGGTCTAGTTTTTCTTGCAGGATTCAGGAAAAAGCAGTAGGCACACCTAAAAGCTGCACAAAAGCACATCCAGGAAGCAGCCTCACTAACTCATTGTGTCTCCCACCTTACTCTTACATAATACTCTAGACTCCAAAAATCTCTAATAATACATCAATTATAAATATCTCCCAGATAGTTATAATTAACTTAAAGAAAGTTACTACCTTTTTTCCACCTTGACTTTCAAAACAGAAATAATATCCAAGAAAACTTCCATTAAATTTGTACAAATTGTTCCATACAGCTCCRTTTTGAGCTCAGTATAGATATACCTCTTAAATACTTATTTTCTTTTAGCTCTGCCTCCCTCATCTAAGAACATTTTTCCCAGCACTAGGCAATATTTAACCACAGCGAACAACATGCAATTCAATACAAGATGCTGCCATATGGTAAATCTCTATTCTGTTTTCCATTCTTTTCAACAAAAGACCTAAGATAACACCTTAAAAAAGGGTGAACCTAATGCCATTTAAAAAAAAAAAAAGATGGATTCTTCAAGCTCTCATTGTTACTCTTAAGATCATTCTGTTCCACATATGWTTTATTAAGATAGAAAAATTTGTTTAGGAGAAATTCTGTATGCCACATAATGGTTAAATGCATGCTTTTGCTAACACACAGCAGAAAATGCTTATTTCTTGCACAGTTCAACTATGAATATAGTTAAGCCAGAACAACATCTAGTCTATGTCTTAAGTCTATATGAAGTGTTCAGCTTACGAGTGTTCTCTTACAAGGCTGTGTTTTTTCCTCACAAAATTGAGGCACCAAATGAAATAGATGATTTATCTTAAATTCCTTCATTTCTTAAACATTAGGCTTACGCTTGTGATAGAAGGAGACAAAGCTAAAACATCTGTGTTCAATAAAGAGCTGTGTCTGTCTTAAGTTATTGTCAGCCATAAATTCACATATAGCCCCTCAGGGCTTGTTCCTGCTCCTTTTCTGATGCCTCCGTGATCTTCTTGCCAAAGCAAAATTTTGTTTAAGTTCTGGTAAGAGAGGAGTACTTTAATGTCAGATACTTTCTCAACATAAAACCCTTCTGAGAACCATTCATAGCCAGTAGCAATTCTCAGGGATGTATTGGAAGAGCCTTGTTTCTACTAAATAGCTTTCCACACATAAAATCCCTAGCCTGATGTAGCAAAGTAYCCTAAAATCTTAAAGTGAACCTTTAGATACAGAGTAATAAGTTATCTTAAAATTGTTCCCATATGATATRGAATTTCATGGTGCCAGTTAAGCACTTAACTGCAACCAAGGGGAGGCAAAGGAGACATGATGCATGCTAGGCATGAAACATAAGTAGACTACTCAAAGTAGACTATAGATCTGCTCTTACCTACGTATTCAAACTCCTCCTTCAAAGCCATACCATTGTGAGAAAAACATTGCTGACATATTAGGGCATACCTAGAAAACATTAGCAATATAGTTACATATGTATTAAGACACTGCAGTAACAGAGGTCTTTTACTTAGGATATTTGCTAATAGCTTGAATGCACCTCTTAAACAGTGCATCCATAGTGAAACATTTACTTGGCTTTAAACTGCAAAGAAGTTTTTAAAGTAAGATGAAAGATTCTTCGCTACAACTTAAACCTCATGATTAAACAGAATATTTGAAGTAACAAGCTTGCCAGAAAATACACATACAGACTACTGGATAGTTTTTTCATTAGAATATAATCAATATGAAAAGTGATAATAGTTAACCTGGAAGTTCTAATATGTTCAGACAATTCTGAAGCAACAGTAATGATAATTAAACAGATTGCAGATGAAACACTACAAAAGGGTCACTCATGAAAATTTATGATGAAAAAAGCAGGCAGCCTGCAATACTTCTAACCTTGTCCCTCTGTTTTGAGACGAGGAAAGGCTAGGAAACCTCCTGAAAATGCATGTGTTCCTTTTAATAAGGGCTTACCTGTTCTGAGGACCATCACCAACTAARTATTCAATAACTCTATCCACAATTCCCCTCTCTCGAGGAAGAATAGGTCTTGCTAAAGGAGGGCCTGGAGGATGAAGACCTAGACAGACAAAACTGAGTGTMAAGTTGATTTTTGGCTATATTGTATAAAACTCAATATTTTACTGTACATACTACAAATACAGTAATTAAAATACTTAATATAAATGTTACTTCTAAATAGTTGTAGGGCTTTTTTAAGCTCCACATTTCGAAGTTCTTCCACTCTTGAACTTATCTTCAATTTGTTCCACCATTTACACCTTTGATGTCAAATTAAATTAATAACTTCTAAAGAACTTAGTGTGTTATTATTAACATATGTATTTACTCACTCTGCAAACTTGATTATTCAGGTTTCCATCAGTAAAATCCATTACAGTAATGAACAACTTAAATTAGTAAAGAGGCACCCACCAGTTTCTGCGCRGTCACTGGACTCCAAGAGTCTTAACTAAAAGCAATATCCACACAACCTATATATTAAACCTGTCTTGCCCTTTGATACACTGAAAGTAACCAGAGTTTTCTCAAGGAAAAGGTCTGTCTTGTAGCTATTCTCACACAGTGACACTTAAACCCAAAGTGTTTTTTAAATAACCCTCTATTTTCACAAACAACAAAAGAACTGATAGATTCAGAGCAAAAACACTAAATGCTTCCAAATTATTCCTGTATTCCATCCACAAGAGCTAAGATTAAAAATATCTCAAAGCAACAAGCGAGGACAAACTCACTGAAGCTTTCATAGATTCTAACAGCAAATTTGCAGGGCTTCACAAAGCACTGACAAAGTCTATGCTTAAAAAAAATTTTAAATCACTCAGAAGTATGAAGGTAAAGATATGCAACACTAAYGCAATACACAAGGGAAAACTCTGGAATAATTTTGTAAATAGTTGGTTAAAATTCACGCACTCATTTCATCTGATAAGCAGAAGACTGAGTTTTCCAGTGACCTGTATACTACCAAAACAGGAAAGTTTCTACAAGTTTGTAAGTTAARAAGTAAAGGTGTCTAGAGATACAAAGCATTAGAACACGCTCCAAGAGTTACCTTCAATTACCTGCCTACTAATAACTCAAACCAAGCATCTTGGTTCTCATGCTGTTATGGACACCAGTAATTAATATAAACATCAAAAGCAATCATTGTAGAAAGACCGGTCATTTCTGCAAGGCTTGGCAAACTCTCAACTACCTGCTGGTTATTAATTTTCAAGCATATGGGAGCCCTGTGGTAATCCATGTTAAATTGATTCTCCTCCACAAAATATAGTATAATGAAAATGAATTATTAATCTTCTCTAGGCATAATTAAGGCTATTCATATTTGTTGCAAACCACATGTAAACTTAAATGCAAGAATATTACTCTCAGAAACAGATTTTTTTATACTTCTCAGTACATCTGTGATTCAGACCTCATTCATAGAAAGTTTGGGCAAATTGARGAAAAACAAATCTTTCACTTTAACTGAAAATTCCAGTTTCCATTTCTATCGTGATAGAAAGCACTAAGTTTTTTCAAGATAACAGTTACTCTGCTGCTGAAATTCTCTAGAGGGCCYCCCTCCAACCTCAACCACTGGTGGTTCTTTAAAGTATTATCACAAATAAACTTTTTTAATTAATAGATTTGGCACCCGTCCCTCGAAAAGAACATGTATTTTTGAACCAAAATTAACTAAATATAATTTTTGAACCATTAATTTTGAGAAGAGATCACAATCTCTTCACATTACTAATTTATTTCACTAAACACTATGAAAAGACATTTTGAAGTCCATCTGCCCAACACTTTCTAYTGAGAGGCCGGCTGTCAATGTATTATGTACAGCCCTATTTATAGATTATATCGTGCAAGTACAGTAAGACTTAAGTTTTTTAAAGTTGAAATCTGGGAAACAGGTCAAAAACTATTCTTTACCATTGCCTAAACAGAAAAAAACAGCATTACCATTACATTACCATTACAATATCACTCAGAGGAATCTGGCAAGTTGCACACTTTCTATATTCAAGACTATCTTATCCCTTTGTCTTGTGATCAATTTGCTTGACATCCCACAACAAATGAAAGTTTTGGCACTAAACCATACAGTTTCACTTTCCCTGAGGAGAACACAAACACGATGCTCCCCAAAATTCGGTATGGTGTCCCTCCTGGGTAGTTCTGTTCATGTTTTACTTGAAAAAATCCACCCAATCTGAACACTAGCCAGAAATACAGAGAAAAACACCTTCAGGATATAAAAACCAGTTGAGGAGAGTATTCATTTCTATAAGATGTCAATCAAACTGTTGCTRAACTTTTTGCTACTGTATGAATCTAAAGTGCAACTTTAGAAAAATTCAGCTATAAGGCAAAGACAACTTTTCCAGGGCATTCAGTATTTTACACTTTAATCTATGCTATATTAATATCTCTRCTAGAATAAAAATTTAAATAAATGTCAAGATGCATGTTAGAAAATATGTGCAGGGTTTAGTGAGAAACATGACCGCATTCTGGAAGCGTTCTCTGTACCTGATTTATATAAATGTAGAGCTCCCCTAAACCAAGGACATAAAAAGGTATGCTATATTGTTGACTACAGAATACTGCAAAGTTTTATTGCCATTTAAACAAAGAAGCCATAACAGTTAAATGAGCTCAGGCAATAGGTTTCAGCATCAAAAGGTGCCAGCTGTAAAGAGTTATGGCTAATTGAATATGGAACTCCCACTTAATCAGATAACTGCTCTGCTATTTCCAAATGAAATGCCATTTCCATACCGTCTGAAAATGGCCTATTTTATTGGTAACCAGAGAAAACAATATAAACAGTAAATAACGTTGAGTGCTCTGTTTACCCATTCCGGGCACCGCAGTAGCAGGGGACCCAGGGCGCCTTGGTAAAGCATTTGGCTGCAGGGGTGGCACAAGGGCTCTCTCTGGGGCTCCGCTCGGAGCCGACGGGTCTCTCTGCACATTCGGAGTTGCTGCTACTGGAAGCGGTGATTTCGGAGAGCCTTGTTTGGAAGATGCTGGAGTGGGTGGAGAAGCATTTCGTTGAGCTGTGGTCCTCTGGCGGATTTCTGACAAGAACACGTGCATATAGAATTTAACATGCAGAACAATATTAAACAAGAGATCAGTCAAAATACTTCGATATTGCAGCTCTAATCATCACAWACAAATAACCTAAATAAAACCAAAAATGTCTACAAAGTCCACAAGCAGCCTGCCTGAATATGCCATAGAAATAGAACTTGAACAGAATGTTGTATTTTAATAGAGATGATCATTAATGACAACTCTTCTACACTCAGTCTTTCAGGAGAGGGTTACCAGATACTTCTCATGGAATTGCATACTGAAAGCCAGGAGAGACAGAGCCACAATTGGAGTTAGAGTCAACCAACAGTGTGCAAGTAGAACTGACCACTATTTTACTCCATAATTTAATATGCTTACAGATATTCTGCTTTCCACAGAACCTGAAATTATTAGTCTAGACTAAGTGCTCATTGGATTTGTTTCAGATTCGTTAAATGAAATGGTTCCAAACACAGACAAACCACCAGGCTGTACAGTTTCATTCCCACTGTTCGACACAACTACTGACAGGACATTACTTGGATGGCACAGAAAATGAATGGCCACTAGAGGAACTTTTATCTCTTTTATCGCTTTTATCTCTTCTCACTCTACTATCAGAGAGCTACTACTATGCCACAATTACAAAAAATGTTTCATCAGCTCTTCTTACCTGAAGATATATTATTAACACTTCCAGGAATATCATCCTCATAAGGCACTAAGGCTTGGTTATTATACAAATATATGAAAACCTACAGTTCCATTACAGTTAGACAAAAGATTTTTTTTATTAAAATATACCATGCTCAATAGCAGTGGTCGTTATCATCCACTGCCACTTAATCACTTCCAATTAAAGAGCTTTTGAAATACACTGCTACAACAGATCAAATTGAAGTTTAGCACTCACTTCAACACTGTGGACATTAACACGGTTAACAAGTGACAGCTTAATTTGTCTATTAAAGACATACCCTAGTAAGACTTAAACCTAAGGCCATAGTAAAGTAACACAATTCCCAGCACCCACCTAATTTCAATCAACTTGCTTAGATACCTGAACAAGTGAAATTTTACTTCAAAACTGCACTTTAACTTAATGCCCTGAGGAGTTTTAAGATTACAGATTTTTATCTGTGAATTTTGTGACAACTGGTAGATTTTAAATTCTTAACAAGTACTTTATAATTCCACAGGCAAAGGAATAGTCACAGGAGATGAGCGTGCTGAATTTTGAAAGAATGAGACCCATTCCTGAACGTAAAATATTATCCCATTATATACTATAAAATATTATATGACTATCCCAGTAGCAGCTGAGGGTGACATCAGCTTATACTAATCAAGGAAGAGTTCCTTATCAGAACAGTAGGTCAGAAAAAGTTCATTTGGGAAAGTTGCCAACATTTAAAGCCATGAAGTGGCATCACATGGAGGCTATTTTCTAGCCTACTTATCTGTATATATAAATAGGATTAATATCTCCAGGCAGAACCGTGCAGAAACATAGAATGGAGGAGGTTGGAAGGGACCTGCTTGGGGGTGGAAAGAGCTCTCCAGAGGTCCTTTCAAACTAAACCACTGTGTTTCTTTGAGAAAGATTCTCCTAGACATTCTTGGCACATTTGCAAATCAGCTGCACAATGGCAGATAAATAACTTAATAGATCTTTTATTCAAGACTATCACCATCCAAATTCTGCAATTGTTTGCACTGAACAATATTGATTCACAAGYAAACTAATGAGCAGGGATACTCACAACTGGACATTCAATACAGTATCTTAAAGAACATCAGAATATTGCCAGTGGTAAAACCGTCGCATCTTTCCTATTTATGTAGATATTTTTCTCCCTCACTTTTAAAGCTTCACTTTTTGCAGTGTAATAAAAAATGCATTTTTTCAAGAATTAGTAAAAAGAAAAAAGAGCATAATGCAGGTCACAGCATAGTTAATTTGAGCCTTTAGTGCCAAAACCAAGATTTTTCTTCCTTCTGGTGTCTGTACATATCTCACAGCCTGCAACCATCTGTACTTGCATTGTTTTTTGTCTAGATTATGCAGTGATGTCATTTACATTGCAGACCTGCTAACAGTTGTATCAGCACAACCGAGAGAACTGTCATCAACAGAATATTGTTGATACGCATTTATATCACTGCTGAAATGTATTTGCTTGATACTGCTAGAGCACTGAACTACATATGCTTGTCAACTCCACCCTAAAAAATTCTGAATAGATCAAATTGCATTTAAAAAACTTTCACAATTCCTTTTCCTCATGGATTTCCAGGTGTTCCCTTAGGTCAAACTGAAGATTCATATGAAACTTCTGTTAGAGCTAGAACTATTAACAAATAGTTGTCATAATGCCCAAAACTGCAAAACTTAAGAGCCAGAAGCAAGAATACTGAGGCACTATAATCTTTTTCTTAAGGGAACAAAGGGAACAAGACTACCATAATTCAAATCCACTAAATCCCTGGAGTAAACAGCAGCAGAAAGCACAAGTTTCCATTTAAGCTAAGTCAAAACCAAAGCAACTAATTTTACAGCAACTGCCTCGTATACAACCTGGTCCAAACTGATCATACCTTTTATTGCCTTTTCCAGAAGGTTCAAAACTCCCCAACCACAACCATTTAGTTCCACAAATTATTCCTATTCTACTAACCCATGCTGCAGCCTACAGTGCTATTTCAGATATACTTCTAATTCAGCTGTCTCAAGCTCTCTCATATCCCTAGTATTAATAATCAAGTCAAAATCAGTGCAGTAGAGGCTGRAGCCAACTCACCAGCATTTGATTACTTCAGAACCTGGGCTGACAAGCATGTGCTCTATGTTTTATAAACAAAACTGCCCAAAACTAGCCAGCTATTACAGGTAGAACTGAACTGTCACCATTGCTGATCAGTTTGCCATGGAAGTAAAACATGTAATTCTTTACAAGTTTCAAGAATGCTGATWACATCTCTTTTATTAAAAGTCAGGATGACTAAAGATTTCTCATTGTCCATCAGCCTAAAACCTGTATTTGAAAATTAAAGAATTAAAAGAATTAAAAATATAGAATACTTARAGAAAAATGATGCAAGTGACAGACAAAACACAAACTTATAGAAAAGCTGTTGTGCCCAGGACACAGAAAATGGAAAACCTTGCCCACAAACACACCACATTGCAACTACTTATTGAGAATGTCAGCAAGAAYGGGCTAAAACATTTTTATGACAATTTTCAGGAAAAATAAGAATCAAATAGTATATTTGACCCTGCAGAAATGGCTTACAGAACACCACTGTTAGGAAACCCAGCTGCCACACACTCCAAGAATGAAAAATGAAACATAAATGAATTTGGGTACTTCAAAGCCTTCTCAAGTGACACAGAAGAGGTGACAGTTCTAATRCCTACTCGACAGCAATGCGATTCTTCAATGGGAAATGAGACACCCCCTGCTTCCAGTTTGCCTTCCATAGCCCCTATATGCTCTAGCTTGGTTGAAAAAAAATTAGTCCTTACATTGACTTATCCAATTTATTTTGTAAGTAATCCATCTTCTGTGTCAGTATATTAGTTTGCCTTTAGAATGTAAATATGACTGCAATTAACTACAGGATGTTAAAGTAACAAAAAGTTAAATGATGGATATTCATACAAAGTATTTCCCCAAAAAACTTTCTGGCAACATTTTCAATGCAAGCACTACTGCAGTGGGAAGAAAACACCTTTCTTTTCAATCTACAAATTTTCACATTCAATCTAGCAACAAGGCGTTACCAAAATACATATTTTAGGTTATTGCCATTTTATTTTATGCAACAGCATTTTTAAATGGGACAGATTGAGGTAGTAGAGAACTGCTGATTTTAGCATCTAGAAAATATTTGATTTCTGCATTGTTCTCTCTTGTGTTATCTATCAGGTACATAAGAATAGTTTAAATGCTGCATTAGGAAACGTCTAACTAGACAAAATCAGTAACAATTGAAAAGCTAAACCAACAAACATTACATAGTATTTCTGACAGCTATTCAGTATTCTAGAAAAATTTGAAGTAGATACTCAGCAGGCTGCAAGGATTTCATTCTCTACGCATCAGCATCAAGCAGCATTTAGTATTCAACTAGGTGGAATAGCATTAGCCTTTACTAATTGATACATTATTTGAAAAATAAAGAACACTAATGGGTATAATCTAATAAACAGGCTACTAACCCTAAAAACGGTTATCAATCTAAAAAATTTATCAGAGAGACTTCTACAGCAGGTATTACTATGAAAGATGAGTATCTATGCTAAAGAGCAGACGTTTTACAGGGCTATTACCTTGCCCAGGTCTGGGGGTTGCAGATGTTCCAGCAGATGGGAGTTCAGCCTCCTGTCAATTAATTATAAATTACATCATGTGAATGCTTAGCTCCGTGGTACCTTTCATATYAAGGCAGCTTCAATACTAAGATTTGCAATGCGATACCTTTGCATTTGATTCTGGATCAAACCTTTCAAGGATTAATTTTGCAGTCTTGTAAGTCTCCTTCTCCATTACCTCTTCAAGCTGGAAACACAAAGTCCCACATGTCAAAACAATTCTTCAAAATATCCCTCCATTATCACCTCCCATTCCTGGTAACAAAATTCCCACATTTGAAGATCATAAAAGGAACCAGTACCATGCTCAAATACCTTCAGATTTGCTGTATTCAAAGGAAATGAAATTTTGCTTTTAAGAAGTTGCTAGTCTTTAATGGGCTAGTATTTAACGGCTTTATTGCAAGGAAACACCAAATATTGCTAATTGTTTACATATAATGAGCAGAATAATTACATGCACCAACTTCAATAATGGAATGTGCAAAAATCTATCAGCCATCATTATTGGAAGTTATTAGACATGACAAGCGAATGACAGGCAATTCCTTAGATTTATTTCCTCATAGCACTTAATGCTATTAATTTAAAGRAGGTCGTTAGCCAAGTGCTTTACAGAATAAAGTCTCTGTGCCAGTTAACTGCTGTCAGCATCGATTTTAGATTATTTATTAGCAGAAGCAATTAGCTTGCTGCAAATACTGTGAAAACTCACTAATAAGAGAAGAGCTACAGAATTCGCTCAATGACTCTAAAGGCTGGATCTCCATCTTTACAGTGAATCTAACTGCTTTTCAGAAAAAGCGAACATGTTAAGAATTTAAACAAAAAATTCACCAGGAACTACGCATGCTTTAGCAAGTATAATTAAAGCACTTCATTATTACAGCGTTACTTACAATGCACTCAAGTGGCTTTATAGCTAATACATGGACTTAATTAAAAAATAATCACAAGTGGCTCGTAGGCAACATCAGAAGAATCTTATCTTTAAAACACAAATAGCTGAAGTTATGACAAATAGTTAGCATGTATTGTACAATAGCTTAAGGAGACCTCTTCCCCTCCTCAATATGCTGACTAATGGCCACACTCACATACAGTTAAAAAGTCTGGGGCGGCTGTTGGCATAAACAGTGAAACAAAAAAGGTCAGTGGGCAAAGAATTAAGTTCTCTCAAATTCATTAATCATTGCTATACAAGAAACAATGTACAATAACATAACTTTTAGGTCATTATTTTGCAAATGACAAACTAAGATATCAACCACTCCGCGCAATATAGATATTGTAGTGTTTTCACCTCTACATAAATCTTAGAGTGCAAATAAAATTCATTCCAGCTAATAGATTTGCAGTATCCATTTAATATCTCACTCACAACCGCTGAAGGCAAGAGACTGGCTGCTAATTTAGGCCAGAAGAAAGAAGGGAGTAGATACAGAAATAAGTATCAATTTCCTAAACTTGTACGTCAGTAGGACTTTGAATTTCACCCATTAACTTCATAAAAATTGCCACAATGTGTAATAAGATCAGAATTAAGGGTTTAACATGGGGAAAATAACATTTATTACTCATAGGAGTGGTAGATAACCCTCAACATTGAGGGGTCAGTGTTGAAAACGAGTAGCAAAATCTTGCCTCAAATCAAAGTGATAGCCTCGAGTTTTAGAAARAGAAAAAAGAAATTTCAATTCCTTAACACTATCTATATAAAATCTATATTACTTTGAAATTGAAAAAAATTCTCATCACATGATTCAGATTTCACTCTGACACTTTTAAGTTGCTCATATTTTGAAATTCATACATAGCTTCATAATCCTAGGAAAGTTGAATCTGAGTAACAGCGGTAAAACTGAGCTGTTACAAACTTGAGATTACAGAAACTTAAAATTTCTGTAAGCAAGTTCTATTCTCGTGTTCCACTTCTACAATATATTTTTCTAGAAATAATCAAAAATTGGCTGAMAACATCATATTATAAGGAAACAAGTACGCTGCAGACCTTACACATTTCTGAATATGCCAATAGAGATATTTGGAAAAAAGGCTCAAGTATGTGTAAATCTAAATATTATCCAATTTGCACAGCAGGAGCTTGCCTGTGCACTGCCACAGCAAGCTCATTTACACATGCAAATCCACACACTGGCTCCAGGATCATTTGCCAAACCTACAGATGTAGCCCCAGTCCAGGTTAACTGGCTGAGCACTGGCTCAGTAACAGAACTGTTCACATTCACTTTTCTCTCAGTTCCAAAGTTTTTCCCACAAAAATGCTTCCTACTGTCTGCCACGGGCTAATTCACAGTCTATTATTATGAACCTGAAGCGCACAGTAACCAGGTTCACAAGTGAAGTCTCTGTGACTGCTAATACCACCCTAATCAGGGATTTACAACTATTTGGAACTGACCACATCTTAATCAAGAAATGTACTTGTCTTCCACATTTTCTCCTATGAATAATTGCCTGGATGGCCGCCTTTCCAACTGGCAAGCCAGCAGAATTCTTGCAGCAACTACTTCACTTGCCTATATTGAGGAGTAACACGAGCAGTATATGCTGAGCTTCTCGCAATGCAACTTAGCAACTGGAAATCTGAAGTGTTGGCACAGTGCAGACGGTTTGTGCTTCATATTACTGCATGTGTTTCCAAAACCACTTAGTGCATGAAACCCCACCACAGAGCTATTTCTTTGTGTTCACATAAGGCTACAAAAATAGTTTCAGGCTACCATACATGTGAGCATAAATAGTAAGGATACCTTAAGACGGGAAATAAACTATTTAACCAACAAAAGTGAATTCAAGGAATATCTTAATCTCATATTTTGGCAAAAAGATGAAAATTATTTTTCAGTAAACACTGGAATTATACAAATACCACCACTTCCAAGCATTTCTCATACGGAGAAGACTAGGCTTGTGAGATGGCTAATCCTTAAAAGAATCTTTGCCATATATGGAAAGTTCTCAAATAACTGATGTTTTCTTTGCCTAAATTCATTAAAAAATAATTCTATTAGCAAACTTTGCATGCTGCTTTTAAGACAACACCAAGGCAAACAGCCTTGAAATCAGACAYTGCTTTTCTTGGGAAACAAACAGATAAAAACATCAGTAAGTCTTACTTGAAATGGCTGGAAAGTCTGTCCCAGCCAAATACTCCTTTCATACTACAACCAAACGGCTGAGCAAAAGTCAGCAAAGTTTAGTATCAGCAAAGTAATTGCTATGTTGTCCTAGCAACTTTGCCATCAAACCAATTATCCCATCTTTTTAAGACTGCCACTTCAGATGAAGTCTCCACCAACTCCCACCTGTAAAAGCTTAATATGTCCTGTATCCTCGCTTTAATGTACATAAACCTTCAAACTTGCTGCTCTATGCACATTCAGATGTAAGAGCTGACATCCTCATTAGCTGATGGAGAACTCCAGGGGCCAAAACAGCAGCCAAGCAATCATGCACACAACCAGTATTTCCTTTGTAATTACAGAGAAGTAATGCAATAGAGAAGCACTTGGCACTCTGATTCACTAACTAGGAATCTAGTACTGYAGAGTCTCCATTCTGTAGAGAAAAAGCCTAACTCAAAATATACTATAAACAATATTAAGGGGCATTTCATGCTGAAGTATCTATGTTTTTATTGTCAAGTGTTTTACCTACAGTAAACCCACATGACTGTGGTATCAAAGACTGAAGCTTTTTAAGCGAACTGAAGGTTCTATTAAGCAACCGACTGCACAAGCAGCACCAGGGTACATCCAGCAGGCAGAGCTCCCTCCACTATTCACACTTTCCAGCATACACACAAGGTCACTGAGGAAAAGCTGGAGTGCATGGTTACAGGTTGTTTTTATATCTACATCTTAAYAGTGACAAAAGTGAAAGATCACTCCTCCCCCCTCCTCATGGCTGTTTATTAAGGACTTTTTTGAAACCTTTTGGGCACCTGTTCTCCTCGATTTTCCTGTTAATTTAACCACCTTGGCAAACAGTCCAGAAGGAATGAGGTGACTACTTCAGCATACTCCAACAATAAAGCCTTATAATTCAACTTTCGGAGTATTTTTAATTATATCTCTAGTGTAAGGTAGGAGATAATGCCAAAAGCATGAGCAAAAACAGATTTCTTCCATACTTTATGACTAACTAGACATGAAACAGCTATCAGTCTTACGAACTTTCCAGAGAACGTAAGTTATCATCAGACTTGGAATCTTTTCCTTTCAAAATCCATCTTACTGAGATCAGGTGTTGAAGCAAAGACCTGGCATAGACCAGTCTTGTACTGTTAACTCACTCACACAGCTCAAAATAGACGAGCTAAAGGAAAGGGACAGTATAAGACACAGAAGATAAATTTAAGAGGAAAGAACATAACAGAAGTAACAGTCAATAAAAAAGGGAAATTAACATTATTGCAATGAGGTATCAAATAATCTACTATTTAATGTGAAACACAATACAAAAGGTAAAGTTACTATTAAAAATAAATCAGTGTAATAACCAATAATTTTTAAAACCCTAAAGTAAGAGAATTAGTCAGCTATGAGAGGGTTAAAGCACACATTTTTCACTTTCAGGTTAAACAGACTAACAGGTGCAACAGCAGTAAAATACCAACTTATTCCCCCACACAAGCAGAACTTTGCATTTTTTGCTTAGGGAAAACCTTGTGCTGTACATGAAAACATACCATAAAGGAATGGTAACAGTTTCCCCTCCCTTCAGATCTTCATCTATATATTAGAATTAATACCAATTTATACAGATGCAGAAAACACTCAAGCAGACAATAATAAGCCTTACTTGAAGTTTTACTTACTATTTTTTTCTTTTGAGATTTTAAGTCTTCCAATGCATCATCTATAAAAGAAATATGCATTACATTCACATCAGGAGAGAATTTCAGCACATACTCTGAACATCAGTCTTGCCCTGTGAGATCACGTTATACACTGCCCACAAGCACTCCAAGCTCTGTGTATAGCAACTACAGTTTTACATGAAAGTAAATCATCTTAAATCCTGAAGCTGCTTACAAGTTACAGTTCAGTACTATCACTTTACAGTTGCTGCTATTAAAAAGTTTTATGTATTACTTCTTCATTAAGCAAGCCAATTCTGGCTAGGGCACGGCTTTGAACTACAATAAAACTAGTAAAACATCAAAAATACACTTCATCTCATGAGTCAGACTAGAGAAAAAGCCTGAGGTCTGTTTTAATATATCTGAGTAACAGATTTACTGACTTAAATATTCAACATAAGCCTCTTACACACTAGTTCCAAATGTTAATTGTCAATTCTAAGTCAATTCTAGTCAATGTCAATTCTAAGTTTCAAATCTAAAGCTGTATTCCACTCTTCCAATACTTTCAGAGCACACCAAAACTCTCATTTTATAAGCTATTAGAGGGTCAYTTCACTGTTAAAGATAAGGGGGATTGCTATAACGAGTAGCCACAGGATCTAAGTTCATCTCTAAAAGGAARGGAAGAAAAAGTCAAATGCTTTGGAGATTCTCCTGTAAATAATGTTAGGAGCTTGGCACTCACTGTAATAAGCGATCATCTAATTCAGAAGATATTCTCTTGATATCATCAGCTCTCTACCCCCTTCACAGCAAAAGTTTAASAGGAGTTTTAAAGAGGAAAGGAGTAGGAGCACTACTGGACACTAGCAGTTCTTTTTTTTTAATCCAACTTTGAGATGGTTTCCCTCACCCAGTAAAACCATAAAACTACAAGAAACAGTAATGGGGAAAAAAGCAAATTAATTAATCAAATTAAATAAGGAAATCTACATGATTAGAGTATTAAATTACTTCAGAAACAACACGAATAAAGGAACATGTACCTGTTTGTACTTTTAAAGTCACCTATAAATCTGCTTTGGTACAACAAACCATTTTATTAAGTGTATATCATATTAAAACTGGATACACATGTAATTCAAAATAGGATGCTGAACAAGATTTATTTTGCACTGGGCTGGACCACAGAGGATTGACACTTCCAGGGATTATGGATCTTCAAATTAAAAAAATTAGGCATCCTCCAACTCCTTTGAATCTGACATTTACATTGGAATACTGCCTCTCTGGAATCTCAACCCAGATTAACACCTTGAAATGCACCTCAGTGTGGTAGGGCATCATGCAGCCAGACAAGYAGCATACACAACCACAGAACGGTTGAGGGTGGAAGGGACCTGTAGAGATCATCYAGTCCAACCCCCTGCTCTAGCATCCGGCCGGCTCYTAGTAGTTCTTACGAATGAGAAGTTGCATTTAGTACAAAAATGCCTAAAAAAATATAACTCCCCACAAGCCAAGACAATCAGTTTAAAGTGCAGGCAGTTGTTTCTGATCATCAAACTCCTGCTTTCAACAAAAAACTCATGAATCAAATGTCCCTTCAGAAGTGGCCAAATGGCGATTACTGCAAATTATTCTCAACAATAATCTTAATATTATTCTTGATTAAATTCACTCATCTTAATTAAAATCACTAAAGAAAAAAATTCATAGCAGTGTGCTAAATAAGCAGAAGCTACCTCCTTCACTGTCCCACACTTTGAGGTAGATTAGAACACAGCTTCCTTAACTGGCCTATGTGACTGCTTTTAAAAAAAAATAGGAAACTCAGTCTTCCAAAATCACCCATACAGAGCTTCACTTTCCTTAGTTCAGAGCACAGTCCCCAAGAATTGTGTAGTTATTCACAGACCTTTACAGTATTAATTATTTTCAGTGACTCCAAATATATTGGATTAATCTAACCCAGAATGAAAGATAAGCTTCAAGCTACTGCACTGGCAGTTCCCCATCTCACCTTGACCTTCTGCTTTACTGCTCTAACTTGGGTATTGTGAGTTTGATTTCTCCYTTCCCCAATATGGGACTTACATCTCTGAATGCAAACACTTCCTTCTTACCCAATTTCCAGAATAATACAGAGCATTCCTTCGGGAATGTTCCAAAGTGAATTAAAGCCCTTTCAACCCTTTACAAACAGGTTCAACAAAAAAAGACTAGACTTGCTTGTACGCTAGAAATTGCAGTAAATGTCTAAAGTGAACTAGAAAAACTTACACACTTTTCCCCCTATCTAGTCATGAAATGCAAATACACACTCATCCTTAGAAAAGAATCTCTTTTCTAGGAGATTCTAGATTCTAGTCACCATATAATACTTAGAATTGTATGTATAAATAAAACAGCCAATCTCCTATGCCTACATAAGTAAATATTAAATTTTAGAATTGCAGAAGTGATGTTAAACTCATAAGCTGGCATGATTTAAATACATCATGTTCTTCTGCCAGTCATAAAATTGGGTGCATTAAGGTTTTTTGTGTTTTTGTATATCACAATATATTCTTATAGGCTAGACTGTTTTCAAAGAAAGTCACAAATGAAACAAATACTGCACACTAGTGCCATGAATACAGTGTTTAAATTTTGCATTATAAACTATATTTCCTTTAACAGCTCCTAAACTATCTTTGAACATTCTGCATTAGCTTTTTTGTAGTTACGTCACACCCCATTTTCATCAACTCCCCAAGTCACACTAAAACACACCCTTTTATCCCTCCTCTTCACTCATATAGTAATACAAACATCCCTTAAAGAATCTTCGGTCTCACRCTATAAATCTCTTCCTATATATAATGGATTAAGGTGATAGAATCATTGCTAAGTGCAATTACTGAATGACTGCTATTGCTACTATTTATATCTCTTTTCCCTCATTTCTATATCTCCACTACATTTTATTCTATCACATTTTAAAGCATCCCAGCCAGAAAGCTATTGTGATTTTACGGTGAAGCAAAGAGACAAGTTAAACAGCTTCCTTCACATTCACTCATGAACCATATGCGTGATAGAAAAACAACAGTTCAGCTAAAGCTAAACATTTTAGTATTAACCAAAAGGCTACTCTTCTCCTGGAAGCCATATTATTCAAAATATTTACATTTTCATAGAAAGTCTTATTCCCAAATATTTCCATACACTAAAAAAACTGAAGAAATACTTACTATTCCTTTCTGTCCTTTTGGAAAAGAAAAAAATGAGCAGTGTTCTTATAAACCAGATTCTTTAAAACAGAAAGAAGAGTTAATTAAATTAATTAAAATATATTACAGTAATCATTTCTTAAGTCATTTAGGAAGCAGGATAGTTCATGTAAGAGACTTACCAGATGAGATTTAACTTTACAAATGCAAAGAATAAATCTTTATGCTAATACTAAGTAGAAAGCTATAAATAAAATTAGTATTATGACCACACTGATGCATCTAAAAAATCCTACTGTTTCTATTAAAATATAAGAAGATATTACTACTGTGGGTAGAAACGTTAAGAAAGCGKCAGCAGTAACATGATGGATTGTTAAACCTTCCTTACTAATATGTTTCAAAGTCAAGTAGARGCAAACATCAAACAGCAGGAGCAGAAAACGCTGCAAACTTCAGAATCACAGGACTGATATTAGAAGGGACCTTTAATGATCATCTAGCCCTCTCCCTTCTGTTCAAACAGGCTTGTACAGAGCAAGCTGCCCGGTACCATATCAAGGCAGCTTCTTCGTATCTCCAAGGATAGAGCTTCTCATGTTTCAGTCTGTGCCTACTGCCTCTCATCCCGTCCTTGGGCAGCAAGTCTGGCCCCCTCCCTCCAGATACTGATGCACATTGTCAGGATTCCCCCCTCACTCTTCTCTTCAGGATAAGCAGCCTCAGCCTTTTCTCATAGCAGAGATGTTTTAGGCCCTAACTTTGAAAAGGAGAAACAATAAGACCTTAAAATAGATCATTATTGATAACTATCTGATTACTTGCTATGCTTCAAATTGTTAAAAGGGATGTTTATTGGAAACTTAAAATTGAAGAGTGTACAAATGGTTGAAAAGTACTTAGTCACTACCTCTTATTATATAGATAATAAAAGTTAACCAAAAATCTAAACTTATCACCTAAGGCTCAAAATTAAGACCCAGGAGGTTTGAGGCAAGAATTCAGTAACAACAAAAGCTAAGAGACAGCACAAGCRCTCGGTTAACTCCTCCAAGCAGAGCTAACTGTCCCAAATCTTGTCTATTTTAGAGCTTTGAATCCAGATGGGTTTAGCTGTATTTCAGCAGGCTTCGAGACAATGAAGCAGTTTTTTATGTTACTAAAACAACATCTGATTTATGCCCATTTTCATTTGGAAGGTCTCTCTGCAACCATCAGGACATAATTTCTTTAAAAGCTTAGAACTGTGTAAAATTAAGTTGATGTTTTTCCTGGTAAATTAAGGAGCYTAAGTCAAGCAGCAAATCTCATACTTCACTCCCTCCAAGGATGTTAGGCAAAATCCTCCTAGTACCGAGCACTATATTAAAAGTAAAAGTGAAGGTACAGTAGAAATGAAGGTAAAAATAAATCCTAAAATCCTAAAGGCTAGAAATGTTCTCTTAATAACAGCTAGAGTCATAAAGCAAGCAAAATGCTATCAAGGTTTTAAATAAACTGACTGATTTGTGTTTTGCCGTCTTCTGCATTCATATAAAATTCAGTTCCAAATGCTTTCACAAGGTAAAAKGACCCAAGTCAGTCAAGTTAGTCAGGAAAACTGGAAGGTAAAGTAACCAATCCCAAATCTGATTAACAGAGAAAAATTTAACTTCCTCCCCACTCTCAAACTATTAACACATAACTTTTARGAATACGACTGGCTTGGCCCACTTATATAGCATAAGGAGCAACTCTCTCAAAAAACAATAGGAGTAAATGCTTATAGAGTTTGAATTGTGTTTAAGAATATGCTAAATGGGCAAAAACATTTTTTTCCTGTATTATGTATATTTAATAAAGGCAAAAGTCTTCCCCTACCTAATCTGCATTTCACAGTAAACAGACATCTAGTCCAATTTCACAAAGTAAACTTCTGATTTCTTCTGTAAAAACTTGGATGCAAGTTTAATTGCAGGCTATTTCAGATCAGTGTTATAAGTTTAAAATTTAACTGAGAATTAAAATGAAACAGATAAAATAGTTCACATTTGAACTGGTCATCTTCAAGAGGTACACCATTCTAGCATGTGTTATTCTTCCTAGCATCTCAGATATATAAACATACATTTTTTAAAGTTAACGATACTATACATTTCTAGAATTTAACTTGCTCTACCAACATCAGTAACATGCTCAGACCCTGAGGGAATGACCTAAGGCAGAAATAAGCTGGTGACTGACTGCAGGCTGGAAAAGGCAGACATATTCCAGTTTGATTAGAGCAGGAAAATCTCTAGAGCTAGTACTGGGTGGCACCAGGCTTTCAACATGGAGTCACCTCTTGACCGAGGATGAAGACAAGCTGGCAGCTGCTTGCCATTCATACCTGCCAAAAAAAACTGAAGGGGAATAGCTTAAAAGAAAAATCAGATCAACAGTTGCAAGTCATAAGAGAACCCGAGTGTAATTCTGAATGTTTGCAAGCTGACAACTAACTTGGAACAGTACAGCAACCCAACATTCAAAATACAAAGAACTGGAAAACAATGAGAAGGAAAGTCCAACATAAATAGCACACAGGTGGACTAGAAGTCAACCACCACCCTGAGATAATKCAAAGGTTAATTTCCCTACTAGTCTAACACACAAGTGAAGAGAGGCTAGTGATATTTCCTTTGCTAGACGTTTTCCTTGTTAGCATGAGCAAGTGCTACGTGATAATGACAAAGACGTTCAAACCGCTGTACTTAAGAATTCAATCAATTTATATTGCTCTGTCAAATATTAATYTGAACTTTAACTTCTGTATTAACTGCTTCTAGTGAGGATATTGCTGACTATGTATCAATAACACAGGATTCCATAACAGCAATATATTACTATACTATAAATAACAATAATGACATAAAGAGGATCTTCAGGTGGATCTTGCATGCTATGTCATGCGGGACACTAAACAAGCTTGCAAAGGGTTAAATATTTACACTTCACTCTGCCACTCAAGGCTAAAGCTAACTCTCCACCCCCCACACACACAAAAAAAAATCAAGTTTCACACATATATTGCAGAAATGGAAACAGCTTTTAAGATTTTAATTCCAGCAAATTAGTAAATAAAGACATATATGGAGAGGCTGCTCCACAGACTGCTTCACTTTCCTGGAAAGATCTGGGATTGGGAGCAGGAGAAAGAGGCAGGGAGACAACAAGGAGGTTGAGCGATTTTGTTCCTCCTAAGAAATAAAGTATTTCTTAGAAAACAAGAGCCACTCCTGAGGAAGAGCAGTCTAAGCAGCTCAGTGAAAAGTAGCTGTCAATACTTTCTCTCATTTCCATTGACAAAGTCCTTACACTCAAATTATGATAAGAAATTTTCTGGTTGAAAAGGAATCAGGCATTTTCAAAAAATAACTAATTAGATAAAACTGATTTTCAACATATTTGATGACCTTTCAAACCACTTCTCTGTTAACATTTACCTAATAYCTAAAAGTACAGTTTCTCCATTCATTCTTCTGTTTCTTTCCCATTTTTATATGCTGTATTTTACATACAGACACCACAGCTGTCACTTTCATATTACACTATTACTTTTCCAAAAAAAACAAGATGATGCTATTCTACTTATAATACCTTACAGCTGTTCAAATCCAGGCCATTTTAGGCCTAGTATAATTTTCAGAAGCCGTGAAACTTTGTATGCTAGCACTGATGGTCAGACTTAGTTCTACAGTAAACCCAGGCCTCCAAGAAAGCCTCTGCCCAGCTATTTGAATTTATTTTAAAGAAAACTCAGCAAGTTATGACAACTCAAGGACGACAACAAACTCAAGCCCCTGCTGAGATGTAATTTCCATCTCATTGCAAAGGACAGCAGTTAGGAAAAAAAGTCGTATTTACTTACATCAACGGAAATGCAAAAAATGGAAGTGTCATAATCAACCTCGCTGTCCATTCATCAGGAAGACACCACAAATACACAATTAAACAGGTAATAAGATAAAGAAGCGAGGAGTAAAGGAGTAGCCTTCCAACCCATAGTTTCTGGAGTCTCTGATTTTTTTCTCTAAATTCTTCTAATGTCTGTATTTCCTGCAAATAAATGGGAATTCAAGTGTATTAATTACATTCATTGGTGGCTTTAAGCTGTCCTCAAATGTTTGTTAAAATTAGTCTTCTCATCAGTTTAATAACTGGCAATGGTTGCTCAACAGATAAAGCTTTCGTAGCATAAACTACAGCACAGTGTAAAGGTTACATGTGTCAGTCACAACACAGCACTGCTGGGCAAGTAATATTACAAATTAGCACTTTTCTTTATATAACGATTYAGTAAAATTGAGATGCAGGAGAAAAGCAGCAGCTCCTTTCTGCGTTTATGCAAGTCTGCTACCACAGTACTTTGCAACCTAAAACATCTGCCTCTGTGGTATTTCAGATGTTTCTAATACTTCCCTAGTAACATGCAGAATTGTCAAAAAATTGGCACCTCCAATATATTTTCATTTCAGTATTTCCTCATAACTCAGAATGAAAAACTGAACATCTGAATTATGCTTTTGGCATATTAATAAGTGATCAAGCAATGCCATTCTAAGTTACTATTTTGTTTGCATTTCAAGTGACAACAGACATACTTTTTCCTTTTAATGAAAGTATGAGTATCAACAGTGWATTTCAAAGCAGTTCATCTCCTAGTATAATACAGCAGGTTGTCACAAATTCTGGCTACAATCACAACTGATTATGAAATGGTCTTTTCAGTTATTCTGCCCACGACCTTACRTTAATAAAGCATCCATGTATGTTTAAGTGTTACAATTCTACCTACAGTGGTAATAAGTATCTGTTGAATCAACTTTTGCTTTAGTGATATTTTCTTGGAAATACAAAATAAGACATTAACTGTTATAATTAGATTGTCTAATCAAGCCGAGCTCACATTCATTTCCATTACAGTCCTTCTAAATGCATATTTCAACTATGCTGTGCTAACACTGGTTTCTGTTTTTTAACSGTTAACGGTAAGGGAAATAAAGGTAGCAGTACACCTGAAACTCACTCTWTAGCCCATCCTACCAGAATAATTATCAAAATAATTTAAAGTTCATTGCAGTACTTTACATTTGTATGAAGAATTGCTCGCAAAAGGACATTTTTTGGACAAAAACAAATCACCAAAGAACAAATACATACCTTATCAATTTTTTCTAATACTTCAACGGTAGAAGGCTTTGCCTGCTTACATAGGAAAAAAGAGAGATATTAACCTTAAGAAAATTCATCACCTTGACAGTTACTTCAGCATAACAACTTCATAACAAAAATACACATAAGAGATTAATATATTGTCTACACAAAAACTAATTCTCCTACATTACTGGCCTCTGTCATTACTACTGAATTACCTTCTTTTACAGTTATCTGAAGGTCTCCTACACCACAAARGATAGAAGGCTACAACACACACAGCAAACTTTATCCGGGTAGCAAGTGAGCCAAGGAGAGAACTGATGAGCAGGTGGAATAGGTAAAAAGAGGAGAACAAACCAATAACACCATTATGGAAACTCCATCTTTTTCAACTTCTCATTCCACAAATACACATGTTCTAAACCCCACCCACAGTTGTTCCCTGGTTTCTAAGAAGTACGAAGCTGTTATTTCCCTCATGCTTCGAAACAAATTAGAAATGCACAGCCTGCACTGCATAATAGAGAGACTCCCAGCTTCCACCATGATGCAAAAACTGAAATTTTGCTTAAACTCCTGCTTTTAAAGAAGCCTTGTATAGGAAACTCTCAGATAGYTTTATAATAGGCAAAGGCAAACCTAGGCTGAGTACTCCCACCTGTAACCACTTAAGAGTGGTCACAAACCTCACACCCCATCTGACCTAAGCTTTCCCATAAACTCAGTACACCATTCAATAACACAGAAGGTAATAAAGATAATTAGGAAGGATGTACATTACATATAATATAAAACTACACCCACTAAAATATGTGAAGTTTAAAATAGATGATACTCTCAATGTATCACACTGAATATATCTACTTTCATCTAAAAACACTACCAAGCTTTAAAGTTTACTATAGCTATCCTTATGAGGCAACATGTAGCTATTTAGATTTAGCCAAACCTTACAAAACCATAGTTTCAACTTTAGTCAAACCAGAGTGATATCCATCATTAAAAAAATAAATTAAAAAAAATAATAAATTTAAAAAAAAAGAGCCATCCACTACATAGTTTTGGGTTCTTTTAGAGGACAGGATAGAAATCTTGATCACTGTGTCTCACACTTGCTCAGCTACTGACTTTTAATCAGTATATTTATAGGAAAACCTCATCATTAACATTCAACCACAAAGAACAAACACATAGCTACAAGAATCCTATCAAGCGATTAAGAACAGTATGTCCTAGAAACTCCAGTCTTCTAGACTAACTAAAGGTTATTAGATTGCAACAAGGTTTACTTACCCTCCATCTCGAAATTAATCCACCCATCTTCTATGCCTGGGCAAGTGCTGGTAGATTTAATCAATCTTCCACTACAATTCAGAGCTAGAAGTAAAGCATTAAGTACTTGAGTGTTATCCATAATATATTCCAAGATCAAACAATTTATTGCAATACTTAAAGAAACCAAAAAAATTGCATAAAATCATGGCCTAGTTATCTACTTTTAATTATTCTAAAACATCACCTTCCACTGTATAGCTCCTATTTTATTAAGTCAGTTCATCAGCCATGACATACCCAAAACTCATTTTTGCTTTGGAAACACTTAACCTGAAGGGAGCACTGAGAAGTGGAGCCACAAAACAGCTGTTAAAAGAAAGGCCAAAATCCTGACAAAACCATTTAAGAAAAATATTAAGACAGATTTAAGAAAACGATTTCCAATTAACACCTCAGCTGCTCATAACTTGCAGTGCTTCTTCTCAGCCTACCTGTCATTCCAGATACTTGCCATTAATGTCCCACTCCTCACGATGAGGAGGAGTTCTTCAATAAGCTGCTTCCCTTTAACGCTTTAACCAATAAGAGCTTATGGTGTAGCACTATTATTCTTCATTGGCAAGATTAGTTTCAAGTATACCAATAATAAGAGTTTAAAACCCAGCTACGGAGTCTTCGCTCACGCTGACAGGGGCTCCCCGCACCCAGCACAGAGCGTGGCCACCAGCATATCAAATGGCACCAAAGCAATTCCAGAGATGCAAAAGTAGCTCAAGCTCTGGACAAATGTGGAACCCAGGAACAGCAGTAATTTGATGACCTGAGTCTAGATTCCTGAAATAAAAGCATAATTCCTTCYCATCAGTAGCTGGCTAGAATCAATTAACATTGAACCACAAGAGAACAAAGTATAGCAGAATTTCTCTCAAGTCATTTAATTTACAAAATTTTTACCCAGTGAATGAGTTACCAACTCATAGCAAACTTAACAGAAAATTAATGCTCAATTACAGCATTACTATAACAAACTAGAAACTAGTCTTTTTTCTTTAAAGCCTTAACTCTGTAACTAAATAATAAAACTGGGGGGGGGAGGGGGCACATGCAGGGAGAGAGAAAAAAGCACTGATCTACCTAGAAAGAAAACTAAGATAGACTTGATTATTAGTGTAGTTATTACTTTTGGCCAAAAACAAAAAATCAAGCCCATTTAAATTCAAATTTGTTCCCAAAGTTACCCAAAATTGTCAAAATAAARTAACTTGGTATCAGAGTGTTTGCTAGAACTAATGTGGCCTGGCTACCTCCTCACTTTTTAATAAAGTCGAAGACTTTGGAATCCATAACTAAGATTTTGGAAGTCAAYCCTTAAAGATGGTAAGAAAATCCATATTTGAACTGCCACCAAGGCAAAGCTCACACCAGTCCACTGTAAAACTACCAGCACYAGGACGGTGATCTACAGAAAACAAAAAGCAGTTACCTCTGGGCCTCTGGAATGACTTCTGAAAGTCACTACTACAGTAACTGAGCTCAGTAAGATAGCATTTATTTTCATTATTATTTTTCAAATGCACAACTCTACTGTTCGCTAACCCTGGAAATTTTATACAACTTCCATGTGGCAATTACAGGTMAGATTCTACATGCCAAGTATTGCAGTAGACCCTATCTGAACAAAGAGGCTCTTCACAAATACTTTGAAGAGAGATAGTGTCTTTATTGCAAAATGACATAAASACTACAGCAGTGGCTCTAAATCATCAGGTAAGAAGTCTGTAAGCCTAGCATGAAGTTCACGCWTCCCTTTTGCTTCCCTAACACTGACAATATTGCCAGGAGCAAGGGCAGCTCTCAGTTATGGGCCTGCACACAAGCACATGTGAGCCACGATGCTCCCCTGGCCTTTTCATGTGCTGCTTTCTGGCACCACAGCTTGAGATCCTGCGTGGTGGAGGTGCTAGGAGACAGGTACACCAGAGCCACTGGTGACACTCATCTTCGTCAACAGCACGTGCACTGCAGTACATTATTTCAACATAGCTGGCAAATATCTCAAAGGGAAACAGGCTTGACTAGTGTCACCACACAACTTTACATTAACTGTGACGTTGATGGCTCACATACACTGCATTAAGTTAGTAATGCTACTGAAAGCCTCTCTCAAATTAATGAGTTGAAACTAAATTCACATTCACAGTTTACATAGTGAGCCCTTATTTTTTGCAGATAAAGTTTTTGCCTGCCTCTGTGGAGTACCTCAGTTTTCCTTCTTCCCTCTCTTCCTCCCCATCCTTCAATACAGTCACAACATGTTTCCACCTGCTCACAAGCCAAACTCCCAGTGTTTCTCTCCAGCTCACCTGATCATTCCAAATCCACCCCTCACATCCTACTCTTGATGGCAACGCTATTGCCTCCACAAGCTCTGGCCAACAGTGCTGCCAAATTGTTCTCTGTAAGGCACAGTGACTCGGCCTATTTCCACACACGCTATCACAGATTTAGTAAACGGACACCTGCAACAACTGCTTTGTGGAGCTTTAAAAGGAACAGTAGAAATACTCTAAAAACACAACGTAGAAGCTGCATTATCTGACCAGCTCAAAAGCATCTGACCACCTCACAGCATCTTTTAACCCCGAAAATATGCAGCTCAACAAGTATAATGCAAAGCAAAATTACAGCCAGTAAAAAAAATACAGAGCAGAAAGCTCCTGGATTATGCACACTTTTAAGAGTCATCCACCAATCTTGTCATCTAAGCAGAATAGCTTGACAATATCATTAYACTTTTATCAAGTCACCCAGCGGAGCAGATTGCTTTCTTCAGCTAAAACTATGAGCATTTTGTGTGGCCTGTTGGACTTAGGGTGGATTCTAAACAAAAACACCAGATGCCTCATAAGCAGCCCAAAGCCAAGATGCAAAAGCATGCGGAACATCCCCTAGGTCAGTCCCCTGGCTCCTCACACTGCTTTCAAACATGTTTCAAAATAAAGAGCTTTACACAAAACAGCTCTTCACCACCACATAGCCAAGGCAGCCGAGGCCTGTCTCGCAAAACAGCTCTCCTGTCCTGCAGTCAGTTTCCACGTGAAATCCACCTCTAGCTTCCCGTAACTTACCAACCACAGCAACTCCCTGGGCGACTATGAAATTTCCTTCCCTATAAAAGCCCCAAACAAGCGAGCAGCGCAGGACCAGGACACCATCCACTACCAGCTGGTCCCAGCACCTCTCAGGGAAACCAAGCACCTGATTTTGTTGATTTTTAAACTTCACCTTCACAGAACTCCACAGGAGAGCACCCAAAGACCTTCTGCATTAAAACCCTCAACCAAAAAGATTAACTCAGCTTCCAAAAGTGTCTTTAAGCGATCCACAATGGGATTGGGTACCCCGGGGGGGCCGGACAGGCTCAGCCGGAGCAGCCGCCTGCACGAAGGCCCCGGGGGGATACAGGGGCAGCCGCAGCCTCCCCGGGCCGCGTCCCCTGCCCGGGGCAGCCCGGCCCGCAGCGAGGGGCTGACCCGCGCAGGGCCGCGCCGCGGGCTGGGAGGGAAGGTGCCGCCCACCGGCCCACGAGGAGCCTCAGCCGGGCCGGGCGCCGCTGTCCTGCCGGGGACAGCCGGGCCGGGCTGGGCCGGTTCGGTGCCGCACGTACCTGCCACGGGCCGGGCCGCGCATCCCGCGCCGCCTGCGCCGCCGCCCGCCGCTGGAGGAGGGGCCGCGCCTGCGGCCGCGCTCCCATCAGGCCCCGCGCGGCAGGCGCGGCCAATCCGCGGCGCGCAGGGAGGGGAGGGGCCGCTGGGCGGCGGGGGCGGGGCCGCCGCGCGGGGCGGGCGCGCGGGAACGGCCCAAACGGCTGTAACGGTCGCGTGTTGGGGTGGCCGCGCGCGGAGAACTGCGCTGAGATGGCGGGAGGCTGCGGGATGCGCCCCCATAACTGTCTGTAGCTGGAGCCGCAGTCCCGGATGGGCTTTTAGTTAATTCAAAGCAAAATAATGGCAGTTAGTGCAGAGTCTTTGAATAAACCAGATACTCTGTGAYATCAGTACAGAGATGGGAACTCCCCTTGGAGATGTAGAGTTTTGCTTCCTTTCCACATGCAAGAAGACCCGGTGACTAAGCCCTTCCTCTTTTTCAGGTTTGCCCCACAGATCCACATCTGCTGGCAAACACGCTTGCAGTAATGACTATCCCTCTGCCATGTGGACCCCCTCCCGCCTGTTTTTTTTCCACAGACAAAACACGTCCATAGCACATCCCTCTGATACATAGCACACCCTATGATACTTCTAGTAGTATGTTGCTATGGGGAAGCTGATTTAAACCTTAGACAAAATCCTAGCGTTTATTTATTTAAACCCATGGTCTAGTATGGTATCCATTTAAAATAAACATAGATAGTGGCAGTACCATACGGAAAGACTTTGGGGGAATGCTAGAGCCAACAGCAGCTTCTCCAAGGACTTTCTTTTCCCCAGATTGTCATAAACTTTCTGAAGTCACCAGGAAATTAGCTGCAGGGTTGAATCAGAATTTTGACAGATGATTACAGACCATGTGCGTGACCTTGGGCCTGCAGAACAGATTTTTACGCATTCCTCCTCAATCAGGTTCTAATCACAGCTATACAAATATAAATCTAACTGGTGGTTTTAAAATGTAGTATTAACTACTGATTTTGAACTTTCCATGCAAGTGAGCCTCTCAAGCACAAATTTAGCTAATGCATGTCCCAATACATGTCTGGTAGTTGACAGTAATACCAAGTATGGGATGCTGTATGATAGTATATATATAGATGCATGTTTGTGCCTGAGACCTGCTTTCCCGAGAACATATCCACCAAGGAAGAAATGATGCACTTGTAACTAGCAAGGCCAGTAAGACTGAATAGTAACTCAAATCAGTCAGAATAAAAAGTTCATTARTTTAGTTCAAAACTGCCCCCTTGAATATTTGAAACCCTAAATAAATTCTATGTGAAATCCTTCCTTTTCAGTTGGACTGGTGCTTAACTTGAATCTAACAGCAGTGTAGTCTCCACAGTTTTTCCCCTTGGGATCGTAATTCACACTTCTAGTCCTTCCATAAGCAAAACATAAGTCATTAATAAACTTCATTTAAAAATATTGGTCAGCTTCAGAACAACACCCAGAAAGTCTTCTTTGCTTTCAAGAAGAGTTTCCCCATGGTAATGATCATAAAACACATATATATTAGCAGTATACGTAGTCTAATGGTCTGGTTTATTTTCTAAATAAATATGTGGTCCTATACATCCTTAGGAAAATGCTGTTTGGTTAAGAGAAGCTTAGCATTTCTAATTTGTGTTTACTTGAGGTTTTTAATTAGGCTGCCCAAATATGTTCAGCAGTCTCTTAAAATAGACTCCCTTGGACTTTTCTGGCTACCGAGGCCATATAGTTTAACTCGYTTAGACACTGAGAAAACTTAGATGTTGACGCAGAACCATTGTCCACACTGCAATTGGAGAAGTGATCGCAGCAAATGAACGTGCACATTTGAAGCTACCTTTAAAATCATAAACCGCTCTGCCCTTAACACTAGCTTTGCCCATGCTGCAATCTCAGCAGTTTTTCACAACGCTTAATCAATGCATCAGCAGTTTGAGAATTACCTGCCGCTGCTTGCAGCTTTGCTCGCAAACCGGAGCCTTGCCTTTTGGCCAGCTCCACAGCAGCAGAGCTTTCCTCCAGAATTTGCTTCCCACGTGCAACAGGCACCRCAGCAATTAAAGCAAACCAAAACTGTTAGGGACGCCGTCCGTGCGCTGCTTGCTGTGTCTCTGCCAAGCCACTCCGCTGCACTAGCCCAGCACAGCTGGGTTTGCATCACTGCAGCTTCCTCCTCCTCCTCCTCCCCTGGATGTATCACAGCCAGGAGACGTTAGCATAAGCCAAAGTCCCATCAAACCAACTACGGGTTGTGTTTCCCAGGGCCTAGACTGGGCTTCCTCTATGTCTTGTACTGAATGAGCACTTGCTGGCAGTTCATAGTTGACATATATATTTATATATTTATACACACCATGAATACATACACACACCATGAACATCTTGCATATTTCAGTTTCATTAAAAAAAAAAGTCTTAATAATGTCTTTGCTTAAGTAGTATAGGAATATTATTTTTTTTTTTTTGCAATGCAGAAAATAAGCTGCAGTATAATTTAAGCAAATCTGCAGTTTACTCTTAACTGACCTAATTGATAGATGGGGGCAATTCATAGATAGACTATCTTCTAGTCTTGTTTTACTGCAAGAAATAATTGAACTCAAAAATCCCTACCTTTTGTGAATAGAAATATGTGATCAGTTGGCCATCTATGAAGTCTGTTAATGCATAAGTGTCTTGGAGGAGCAGATATTTCCAGGGGACCTATGAGTTCTGCCCACATCACAGCCATCAAAGATTTCCTACAGACCTCAGCTGAAATACGCAATGGTTGTGGAGGGGTCATTACTAGGGGAGCTCACTCTGTATTCAAGATTCTCCTCCAGCAATAAAATACAGAGCTCCACCACMCTTCATTACCTTTTTTATTAGAAGCTTTCAAAATTCTTAGTTGGCCTCATTCTGAGTATTGCAGGGATTGCATCTCTCCATAGGTTCTTTTAAATGCCTGTCTTTGAGGAAGTTACTGTAGCTACTGTATTGAAGATACCATATTGTTTTCAAAGGGGAAATTCTATTCACTAGAATGCAACATAAGACTGCCAATCTCCTAGAATATGTGACATAATGACATGATGCATGACATTGTTTGACGTAATTCTATAGAAGAATTTGCCAAATCATAAAAAACATGTTTTTAAAGTAATAGACAAATCCATGAGGTAAAATATTTGGCAATGTGACTTTACCCCACTAACCAAATATTCGTTCTGCTTCCAAGATGACAACATATCTTTCCTATTTAAAAAAAAAAAAAACTTTCAATTGGGATTGGGTACTAGGAAGAGAGGCAGATAAATTTTTTCCAGATTACCAGGGTCTGCAAGAGCTGCCTTAGAGCGAACTGGTGAATTGAAAAGAAAAAAAGAAGTCCAAAGTCATAAGAAAAAAAAAATCAATTGGAAGCTTTAAGAAAAGCTCAGGAATGGAAAGACCAAATAAACAGTGTTTAATTTGTGATATTTTCATGTTTTGAGAGCACCTTATTAAAAACTATATTGCTGAAATAAGGTAACTTCAATGCTGTATTTTGGCATGAAGTACTTTGGAAACATACTCTGCAACAGCAGCAGAGGAAAACAGAGTGAGAAAATAGAGAGACTTGATCTAGTTTTTGATATGTAACAGTAGATGCTTATTTTTGTGTTCTGCTCCAACTGTAAGATTTGCAGTGTCAGATGTCTGCATTCTYACATTTACCTCCTGTTCCCTGAGATTTTTTTTTTTGCCTTGGTATTTTATCCTGTAGCACATATCAGTACTTCAGTACTTCCATAAAGTCCTTTGCGTCTGACTCAGTCACAACTTCCCAATAAATTATACCCGAAAAAGGAAATGCATAATCCATCAGGTCAAACATTTTAAATAAATGGTTCACTGAAATTCACAATTATCACATACGCTATTCTTTTCATGGTTAAGAGATTTTGGAAGTTATAATAATGATTTTGGTAGTTATCGTTATTTTATAGTAAATGTGTGTTTTMAATTAAATTAAAAGTTTTAAATCAAAGGAATTCTGAGTGTCTTAAAATTCTTCAAAGCCTACAATAGGAATACTTACTATTTGAAAAAACATGTTTAAAGCAGGAATGGAAACTTCTTTTCAATACTATTAACCAATAGTATTGGTTAATAAATAACCAATAGTAGCATAGTAGTAAAATAGTAGCATGTTTAGGAATAGTGTAGGAATTTAATTTTTTGTGTGGTATAAAAAACATTTTTCTTATATTTCTTATAAAATATGCTTGTAAAATATTACAGATATAGATATAAGCATTCTGTTATTAAAATCTCATGAGAAAATAAAAAAAAAACCCTAGAGACTGTAGCCTGAGAAGCAGAAAGATGTTTTCTGCCTATATTTGAAAAGTTATACTTCATGTATGAAGTTTTAGGAGCAATTACTATGCACATATAAATACATACTCTTCCTTAATGGGCATGACTTCAAGCATCTGACTCTTTAATGGTTATAATGACTAATATATGTTTATAGTGAGAAAAATGACTGTATAAACAATAACTCAATATTCTATTGAAGAAAGCCTACTAAATCAATTTTCCTTAGTCTCTAAATGAAAGCATGATTAKTTTCACTGAAAGTATTTGAGCTGTGCTAATACTTAAGTCAGCTATATTATTTTTGCTTCCTGGAGCAGTTTACTCTTTAAACAAATTAGGGTTCTGATTCGACAGGATGCCTCCTCTTTAATAAACATGTAAGTACATCCTTAAATTTTATTAACATCTATTTCCTTGAAGCTAAATAAAGAGTGCTTTCCAATAGCCCTTTTAATATGGCTGTGCYTACTGGGCAAAGTAGGACTAACCCATCAAAATGAGGGCCAAATTATGAAGCAATTTGAATGAAACTCTGGGTGACCTTCAGAGGACTTTTATTTGATGAAGAATGATGGAATTTGGAACCAATAAATACAATTCTAGGGGCAAATAAGAATGTGCTGTTCTCAGTGCAGTGAGCCTCCCTTCCAGGGAGT